TTCAAGAGCTACTGGAAAGTGAAGATATCACACGAATGGATTGGCCAGCTTACTCTCCAGATCTAAATCCCATAGAGCATGTGTGGGATGCATTAGGGAGACGTCTTGCGACACGACAGTATCCTCCTGGTAACACCCATCAGCTGAAAGATGCGTTAAAGGAGGAATGGAGACGTTTACCCCAAGAACTCCTGGATAATCTGGTGCTTAGCATGGAGAGACGATGCCAAGCAACAATTACAGTAAGGGGAGGGCATATCCCATACTAGGGAACATCTGGCAGTTGTATTTACGCTTCTTCAGGCAATCATGTGTAACGCCACTATATGTCAAATAAAGCCTTCTTTTGTCCCATACCCTACTTTAAGCTTTATATTCATTTCTGCGCCATTATTCTTTTACCATCGTTTAATTACAAAGTAATGTACATCATATTCAAATTTCATGTCAATCGGATGATTTCTTGTAGAGTTATGACAAGAAACGCCCTTGTTGTTTAAGTTTTGCACACCAGTGTATATAGATGATATGAAGATAAATATAATTAGCTTTATTAAATTAAAAGTTATCTCAAAACTGATTTAAAACATTTGAAAATTTTTGATACTTTATTTAATTGAAGTAGAGAAAAAACACAAAATTATTGAAACTATGTATTATAAAACCAATGAAATATCATTATATATTTTCTGGTTCATAAAAGTTCGAATCAAATTCAATTAAACATGGATACAAAATCAGTTGAAATTATAGTCAAATGAATAGAGCATGTGATTTGCTATATTGTCCTATTCCACTAGAATATTAACTTGAGAATCTCCTGTGTCATAAAATGTTATTTTACGTGTACGAGTGGGTGCGCGTGTGTGAAATATTAATATCTAGAACACGTATTTTGAAATTTATTTTTTTGAACATGTGTACATTTTAAAAAAGTATTCCGTTATTTCTTCATTATTTCATTCATAATATGAAGTTATATAACACATAAGAACATAATATAACACATTATGTTATAAGAAAACTACTTTTTACCACTTATTAACCACTTAATCAAGTACGTTTAATACGATTATACGTTGTGCTGTTCCATAGCGTGGGGTTTTAGGAATACAAACTTTCATAGATATAACAAACACAATTTATTAATAATTTGCAGCATTTAAAATGTAGAATACAGAAGATGCGACTTAACGCAACACTAGCAGGTGAGGAATCTAAACTGAAACTTAGAGGGTAAGTCTAGACTCGATTGCGCATGCATGATATGACAGTTCGTAAACATAGCCTAGAACTAAATACACAACATACGTTCATAAAAAATTCTAAATATTTAATTTGAAATAACCATTTACATTTTAATAATATTTTCTTAAATTCCCTATTATAACCCTTATAATGTATAATAGTTCTTACATACTAGCATTTTTCCATAATGCGGCCACTTTTTATATTCTATAGATTACGAAACCGAATCTGTCGTATGTTTATTCGGAAAAGTTTTTGTGTCTTATTTCGTAATTTTTAAAATCCTCCGCAAATTGTTATCACATATTTCAGATTAGACCCTCCAATCATCAATATTGAGAGTCACAGTATATGAAAGTCCCATCATCAAAATTAGCTTTTTTTTTTAGTGTGATCACTTTTTTTTATTTTGAAATTCCGGCTACAAATAAGGTTCTATAAAAATGAAATAAAGTATTTCTTTGAATCTGGTGTTTCAGTTTGTCTTAATATCTAGTAAAATACTAAAGAAAGTATCATCGACATTGTCTTCGATTTCTTTTTCCTTAAGATACTTGATTTACCAAAATAAATTATTTTGTATCGAACAATTAGGTAAAAAGCAAATAGTCGCTTCAGTGTCGCTTAAATGTTTTTGGTAGAGAATTCTTTTTCTTAATGCTTGCAATGGAACGTGGGCGAATACTATCGTTAATCCAATATTGAAAAAATACCATTCTAGTTCTGTTTTGCTTGTATATTCCTCTAATAGTTAGGCTCAAAATTAGTCTTTCTATAATAAAATCAAGATTTTTTTTTAAAAAGTAGTTAGGCTATAAACTATTGCATATAAAAAGAATAGGCATGTGTATTTTTTGTCCAAAAAATATTTCTTACAGCTTTATTTTTACCGGCACACCATTGTAATTAACAAACTAAAATGTTAAAGCATTTTAACAGACTTTGAAACTTTAAATTTTAAGGGAAACATTAAACTATTTTTCAGATAGCACCTTCACCAGATTGCAACAAAAAACCGGAGACTCATTTGTGAAGTCACGTGTGACTTCACAAATAAGTCTCCGCTTTTAATCTACGCACAGTTTAATCTACGCATAGATCTGAAAGTCCCAATATATCCGCCTTTGGTTGCTTCACAATTTGATTACCTCCCGACGTCAGCATGGGACCTCAATGAGAACTGTCACAACGACTTCATCGCATGATGAAGATGTGACCTAATCACGTCTCAGCTTAGTCACACTGTTGAGACGTAAATATCACAATTTCATCACAAGTCGTCTCAGTACGCTCATTTTTGCATCGGGAACAGAAAACTATTATAAATAGTTAAAGTTGCTTTCATTTGAGGAAAGTAAAATACTTTTATGTAGTTATTTGCTCGTACTTAAATATTTCTAAGTGGTACGTAATTTATCTTTTTTTTTCCTGTTAAAATAAGCCAGGACTATTTAATGTTATTATGAACCATTCTTGTTTGAATTTATGATAGAAAATATTTCAATTAGAGAAATTCTAATTTCGCTTTTAAATCCTAATTCAGTATAATCAAATTATTTATATTTTCAAAAAAATGATGTCATCAAAAGAATGAATCTCATTTTATTTCCTAATACATAATGAAATATTGAACATTAGAAAATAAGAAATTATACATTTGAACGAGTAAACAATTACAGGACTGAGAAATATATCTCATTAGCATTAGGGTGATTTCGCAAATTAGATTTCAAGTAATTGCGCACTTCTAGTGGGCACACATCAGTTCTGGTGAAATACGGCCGTGAAAAATTATTAAAGTTACGTGAATGAAAATAAGAGATTTTGCAAAAATCTGTAACTTAAAAACGCTAACGTTGTGGAAGATCATTTCAATTTCGATCACAAAATCAAAATAAACTTTTACAATGGACGTAGGCTATCTCTTTAAACTGTAGCATACCATTCAAGACGCTTTACATTACGTGAAACAGTGGTTCTGTGAGCAGAAAAATTTGGTATATTATAGATTTTGATGAATTCAGTCATAAAAAATCTTATTTTATTAATAATGCTTTAAAAAAAATATTATTGAACTTTTATTGATTATTTAACTTCTTTTAACTAAATTGTGAAATTAAAATATAATTTATGATTTCAAAATAGAGGAAATATATTTTGTTTCTTATGAAACTAGTGCAATTAGACAACCATAATGTTAAACAAAAACCTATAAAATTATTTTTTATTGAATGACCCAATTGTTGAAAGATCGCACGATTCATTTCTAAATTTCATGAATACATTTCTTCAAATTCGCATTCCATGTCCGTGTTTTCAGTTCGGAGGTCGGCTTAAACAGAAGACAACATTTAACAGCGTGCTTGAAGCTTTGTCTTTCTGGCGTAAATCACGCTAACATAACTACATAACGTAAAGATTCGTAGCACCTGCAATAAACGCGAGCATGTGCAGTTGCTTCAATCTTAATTACAGGAGCACGGCAGCTAACGTGAAAGTGCGAAATCTCCCTATATAACGGTTAGCCGCACGTAAGCATAATCGGCTAACCAAAAAGTACATTTTTGTAAAATGTTTATTTTAAATTTATAATAAGAAATTTAGAAATATAAACATTAATTTTAAATGACAATAAAGAATTTTATATTTTAATAATAGCCGACCGGACTGTGCAGAAGTTAAGGAACTGGCCTTGCATCGGAAAAGTTCTGGGTTCGAATCCCGGACAAGGCGTGGCTGCTCTTTTATTCTCTGTACTGTCAGTTCTTACTGTGGGAGCAACGTTCGCCTACCTAATATGGTGCCCTTGAAAGAGTGGCCAACATATCCGCCCTATAAATGCCTGAATTGACGAAAGGTTAACACAGGTGGGCATTGGAAATGGCGAAAATAATTTAATAATAAAATAATTATTTATTAAAGTCCTCTTCCATGTTACTCGATAGTAAAAAAAGTGTAAAACAGTTTATATATAGGATATGAAGGAACAAATTATATTGTTTACATGAACTTTTCCCCTGACTCATAAAATAAACATTTAAATGGGGGGGAGGGGGAATTTGCAATAAAAATAAATACATCTTGAGTTTGCTCCAGATTATATATATCTGCAGCTAACTCAAAATATATTTATTCTTAATATTACGCTCAAATTTAGGAAAAGAATGTTCTATTTTTAGTTCCAATATAGGTCATTAAATAATAATTGGGTAATATAGAATTATTTGAACCTTTTATCTAAGCAAAACTCTGTATTTCGATACTTTCGTGAATATTTTGTTCACATGACTCCTTAAAATTAAATTACAAAAACTAATAATTTGAATAATAATTGAAATAATGAACTTCCATATTGCGATCTATCGGGCCAACTGCAATTCCCAAATGGGTTTTAAACACACAAATTTCATAGAGAAAAAAAACGTGTGGTGATTTCCCTGGGATGGCTAAAAAAGATACACACCTGTTATTTCCACATGTTAAATGATGATTTAGAAAAGATAAGTTAAATCTACAAAACATCAAAAGTCATTATTTGAACCATTTATACCGTTGTAAGCGTTACATTTTACTGGCTTTGTAAAACAGTTTTTTTTTTGTGACATGAATTCATAGATTCATACGTAGATTCGTACATTTTTTATATTTGGATACACGTTTTGAGGAGATTCATACACGTTTCAGTGTATGACTCTCCTAATATTTTAAAATATAATATTGTAATTTTCATGTTGGATGAATTTAATCTTTAGGAACAATGGAGAACGTTGAAGAGAAGAATCTTCAAACTGTCCTGCTGAAAGAACTTGGGATAAAGAGGGAAGATTTGAAGAACCTCGCAAATTTCGCACGACTTCTCCACTCACCCCGCAACCCTTCCAGTTTAGCTGTTATCCGTATTCTCTACGGTAATGAATAAACTCTGCACTTAGTGTATTTTAACACAGAAAACGTTTGGTACAACTGCTTTAGAGTAGCGGACAGGCTGTATGCACTGCAGCACTCTTTATCTATCTATCTATCTATCTATCTATATATATATCTATCTATCTATCTATCTATATATATATCTATCTNTATATATATATATATTTACAGGTATAGGACAAAATAATACGAACACTTGTGAAAAAAGGATTTTATTAATAAGGAGTTGGGCCACCTTTGGCCTACATGACAGCTTGCATTCGACGTGGGATTGACAGATAAATGTCTTGAACAAAGCTCATCGGAATTTCCAGCCATTCCTCTTGCTGGACTGTCTCGAGTTCAGAGAGGGAAGGAGGAAACCGAGCACGGACTTTTTTCTCTAAAAACCCCACAATGGCTCAATGATATTAAGATCAGGGGACTGAGGACACCACGTTAGCTGTTCCACTTCATCATTATGCTCCTTTAACCATGGTTGAACACAGTGAGGCGTGTGAACAGCGCAGGACGTTCTCCCGGAAAGAGAATATGAAGCATAGGGTGAAGAGGATCTGCGAGAATGCTTCGGTAATGGTCACCTTTGATCACATCCCTCAAGACAACGAGAGGCCCCAATCCACGGGCAGATATAGCCTCCCACACCATCACAGAACCACCTCCATGCTTCACGGTTGGAACCAGGCAGTCGTCATGAAATGCTTCTGCCGGCGTTCGTCACACGAACACACGTCCGGTGCTCTGGAATAGTGCAAAAGAGAATTCATTAGATCAGATGACTTGTTCCCATTGCAGTTTTGTCCATTTTAGGTGGTCTCGGGACCTCTGTAGTCTCTTCAAAGCATTCCGAGCTGAAACTAATGATTTCGGAATAACTACTCTGCCAGTAATGTTAGCAGCATGAAACTCCCGTTAAATAGTTTTCATGGATACGAGGTTCTGAAGGTGGGTATCCATCTCGAACGTTATCACCGGCAGTGTAGTCTTGCGTTTTCGAGCGACTATCCTCTTCAACACCCGTCTATCACGGTCCGACAACTTCGACTTCCTGCCGCTGTTGTGCTTCGCAGAAGACACCTTACACAGCTTTGTGTATGCCGATAGAGTCCTTGATACAGTGGTCCTTAAAGCACCCACAAGGTTCGCTGTTCTGGACACGGACGCTCCAGCGATGCGAGCTCCGATTATCATACCTCTTTTAGAGTCAGAGTGGTCGGACAGAATCTCGCATTGCTAGGAACAGATTTTTTTCATGCAACACTCACACTGCCAAATGCTAGACTGATACCTTTCCTTTCATCACCACTAGGTGGCACACTCTTGCGACACGTGCCCTCCGTTTATTGGACGGTAGAAGGATGACTCCATCCTTCCTCAGGTGTTCCTATTATTTTGTCCTATACCTGTATATATATATATATATACTCTTAAAATGAATGAGTGAATTCCCCTACTCAAAAAAAAGAGTGAATTTTATTTTAAACCTGGAGTTGAATACATCTATATTTGTACTTCGCCTTGACATCTTCAATTCCTTCGCCTTGTTGTTTTCAATTCCTTCGCATTGTCATTTTCAATTCCTCCGCCTTGTCATTTTCAGTTGGGAAGTCATTTTCAATTGTCACAGTTTAATTTTAAAATTGAAAAAAAAAACTTATTAATTACCGAACATACCATCTATAAAATTTAAAAGAAATAAATGCTGATAAATTATTTCAGTTGCGCAAGCTAAAAATAATTTTCTTTTCATCTTATTTATGATAGGCAATAAAAGATTCAATGAATAATCTGAAAAGGATTAATTTAATTCAAATGTGATTTAAATTACACTCAAGTAAAAAGAATAAAAAATGATAGAAATAACTCTAGAATGATTTAAATAAATTCACTCGATGGATACTAATTATGAATCCAAAATAATTATATTTAATATAATTCGAGTTAAAATCATGCACTGAAACGATGTAAATAGTCTATCAAAAATGATTGAAAATCACTCAAGTTTGACTTAAAATGATCCACCAAGTAATACTGATAGTCAATCAAACACGATTGAATTTCAGTCAAGTTCAATTTAAAATTATCCACTCAAACTTGAGTTATTTCAGCTAAGTCTTTGGCTTGAGTGAATTTAGCTCAATATTAGAAGACTCCTTTTTTCCGAACGAACGAGTGAAATTTCACTCGAGGTGAGTTATTTTAGTTCGTTCATTTTAAGCAACACTTATTTTATTACTTTCATAATTATTTAAAGAATTTAAAAAATGGAAGAAAAAATAACACCTTCTTCAATAATATTCGGGAAAAAATTGGAAAATTTTGCTTCTAAAAACTTTATGTAAAAATAAATATATTAACAATACTGAAAAAATAAATATATTTTTAAAAGTAATCTGTTTTAAATATTATTCAGATTTTTAATAAATCTGTCTTGTTAATCTTTATATCGTTTCACGAAATTGACAAAAATTGGGTATTTAAATATTTTTTGTTGAAACGCTATTCTCATGGTAGATGTCTGGTGATAAATAATTTTCACTAACGGATGATATTTTTCACGGTCTGGCTACCTCTTTTGACAACTTGGCTGTGGCAGAAATGGCAGAATAATAATTGTAGGGCTCCAGCTTAAAAGATTATTGAAAGAAACAAAATTTTGTAATTACATCTCTCAAAATATGTGTAATTCTTTCCTTTTCCTGAGAATCCTGGATATTTCATATGTATATACCCATACAATTTCATTTTTAGAGTTTTTAATGTTTTGCAATTTCGAAGAAGGAATAAGAAATTCAGCTGATGTGCAAGCTTAATGTGTTATATTTTTTTTTCTTGAGGGAATCATTAAATAAGCATTATCACTTCACAAAACTTTGTACGAAGAAGAAATGAAGATTAATATTTTTTTTCAACATATAATAATTATAATAAAGGAGAAACAAAAATAATAATTTAAAAATAATTACAATGTTTTATTTACAACTTTGAAAGTAATAAAGTATTTAGTGTAAAAATGAAATAAAATTTTATCAGCAGTTGTGCTTATTTAAAATAAACTCGATGCATACATGCATTAAATAGTTACTTTAGTCATTATATGGCTTATTTCAGGTGCCTTGAAATTATCTGGTGCAATATTAGATACCTTAGAAAGGTTCTAAAGATTTCGTTATAATTTTTACATTAAACTTTTTTTTTATTTCAAATAGGTAAACAATTTCTGAAAAGTTAAAAAACTCCAAAAATAAGTAAATAAAATACCTATTTTAATTTATAATAAAAAGTATTCAAAACAATGCTAATTTTTCTCCAAAATATCTATCTTTTAATTGAATATCATCGAATTCGATTGTAATATATACAGAAATCCTAATTATGTAAGAATTTCGAACAATCTTTCGAAATCAATACTAAAAGCCAATCCTTCATTTTTTCCCTCTTAAGCTGTCCTTAAATTAAAAATCAATGATGCAATTGCATTAAATCGATTCTTTTCTGTCCAAACCAGCTCCTTAATGTAGTTGAATGAACTATTTAGTTATAAGAATTTGGCGAGAAACATCGATCACTTAAGATTAATGGGAAACGCCATGTTAAGGAATCAGTTCAAGACAACGTTTGGAACACTCAGAAAGTGTGGTTGACAATCAAAGTCACGATCTACGTCATCTCTTTTGCTGTATTTTAACCTCAAGAGGCAAAGAGTGTCCCTGACGATTTGGAATTTTGGAGCAAATCGTCAGGGACACTCTTTTTCTCATAAAGGATCGTCTGGACACTCTTTTTCTCATAAAAGCAAAGAGAACGACCCCGTGCTTTGAATTTATTCTCATTTACAGAAAACTAACTAGATTTTACAAGAATGTAATTACACTATTGTTGGCAGTGACATTTTCCAAACAATTGTTAAAAGTTCGTTGAGAGGTCATTGTCACTCCTGAATCACTACTGCAGTAACCCTCGGTACGGATCGGTACAGAATTGCAGATTTGTATTAGGTACATAAACACACGTATAAACTTTTTGCTTTATAACTGTATTGATTATTATATCGTAATGCACATCCTGTGCATTTTATGTTTCACTCTGCAAGATTAGTTTCAGTTTTTACAATTATTCAAAGCTTCACCTTTAGAGTGACAATTATAATATTATTTTAAGTTTGATGCGTGTACATTTTTTTCATTATTTATTTACATTTATTCAGTGGGGCGTTAAAACATTAAACCAAAAATAAAAGTTTTTTCTTAAGTGCATGATAATTTTTATAATTTTATTAATTTTTTTATAATTTTTATAATGTATATACTTTTTTGGAATAACCTCAAATAAGGTCACGTTTATTCAAAACAATATTTCTTGATAAAAGGAATTATAATTTAATTTGGGCAACTAATTTTTTAAGCATCAAAACTACAAAATCGCCCAAAATATTTGCTTTTTTTCACACAGCTGTTTTATGTGCTAAATTTAGGCAGTTTATATTATAGTAAGATATATTCTGAGCTTATTCTAATCCACTAAAATAAACAATTTGCAATCATTTTTGTTTCGGAGCTGCAGTTTTTCCCGTTTTGGGTTCAAGAATATTACATTTCTTTCCAGCGCAGCCATGATTAGTGTTTCCCCCCCCCCCTCCAAATTACATAAAATGTGTACCTTTGAAAGCCTGTTTAAAAATATGTAAATCGAAAAACTCTCAAATTAATTTGCCTAACTGTTTTCTTTTTAAATCATAATTTAATAAAATTGTGTCAATATTTGGCAGTTTGGCACATTATCATCATCCTGTTTTGCCTAACAGCAAAGGGTGGGCCAAAGTCCTCTGTTAAAAATTTCGATAGGTCAATTTATTTTTTGAACTGGACTGTCAGTCTTTTATCCCCAAACACTTTAAAAGCTGATTCCCCAGAACCGAAACATCAGTCATGTCAAATCTTATAATAGCATTTTCAATCTTAACGACCACTATGGAACATTATGAAAGTATGACTTTCTTTATATGCAATGAATCATGAAATGTGGACACGACATCTGTTGTTTTGTCATTGTTTCTTTCACATTAAAGGTTTTCTGATGATAATTGATATCCACCACGAGAGGGGTTTGTCGTCAGCTGACAGCAGGTGGGGCAATCCAGCTGAGTGCCGATTTCCACTCTTTGACTGGTGGAGACCACTCCCTTTGGAATGGATGATCATCCTCTACCTTCTCATGATTCTAGGTACTACCATCTTATTTTGAGCTGTGCTTTCATTTAAATTTCCTTTCATTGAAGTAATTAATTTGCATTTATATTACTCGATAAAATATTCCTTTTTTTTGTTATCTGAACATTAAAGTTTTCTACTGCTAAAATTTATTTTAAATTGAACTTATTTATTATGATGTTCTCTATATAAAAACGTAAGTTTTTATCAATAGTTCTATTTATTTCCAGAAATATTCTTCCCCTTGTAAGAAAGGAAAGTATTTTTAAGAAAGTATCAATTTTGTATTTTTTCGTTTTAAATGTTTAGTTGAATGTATTTAACTTCATGCTAATAAAAAAATTATGCTTAAAGTATGTATATTTAATTTCCTTAAAAATAAAAAGCACAAAATCGTTTTAAACAGTCAACTCAGTACTTTTATAAATTCTACATAAAAATATTTTGATTGTTAAAAAGGCCCTAAAAGCAATGAAGAGGTAAAAGTTATCCTAATAGTCATCAAACATACCTAAATATTCATTGGTTAACCTGTTGTGCCAGTGACCATTTGCTTAAAAGTTTTATGAACCCCTAACTTGGTGGGTCAAGTATTCAAACCCGTTTTTAAAAAAAATTAAGTATTTTATATTCAGAGAAAAGTGCGCTTTTGTATCTGATTCCGATTCTGATAGAAAAATATCTAAGTTTTTAGGCAACATATTTCTTTTCAATTGATTTCTGCCTAAAAAGCAAAGATTGCTTTCGTTCTCATCTCCTTTTAAAATGAAATTTGAATCGATTTATACATTATTTATAATTTTCCAGGATTTTAGTATTTGAACACATGAACTTTTCATAAGGCTTTATTTGTATTTTTTTGTTTTTAACATTTTTAAATATGAAGATTTTATACTAAAACAAAATTTACATTATTTTAATTACATATAGAGTTGTAGGGAAAATCGCGAAAAAGATTCCGTAAAAAATATAAAATATTTGGAAAAACTCACACAAGGTTTTTACATAATTCACGGTATTTTTTTGTATGTAATTGAGGAAATTACTGAATGTTACGTGACATTTTAAAAAGATTGAAATATGCATGCCTAAAAATATTGTATGATTCATTTTATAAGAAATCGTTTCATTCTACCAAATATGTGACTTACCTGACTTTCTTTGGATAAAGATAATTTGCAAATAGCATCCTGATGTTTTTATACATTCTGAAACGGATTTTCATGAATTCACCCTAAAATTTCGCTCAACATGTTCAACAGTTAGAATCACCCAATATTGCTACCATAATTTCTTTACTTTATTCCTTTTATTGTAAACTTATTTTACGATTCTTACCATCATTACATACATGTATCTGATTCGATAGTCTTCTTTTAAATGGAATTCGAAAGGTTCTTAAGAAACTGTAATAGTGAAAGCTAAACTGAGAAGATAAATGTAATTTATTACGTTTATATTCACCACAGCATTAAATAATCTATTTCAATACATAACTTCAAATATCTGGTGACAAAATCTTAACTTTTGAATTTTTTTATTTTAAAGTTGAAGATAACTTCTTTATTTCAATATGGGTAAAAAGTTTTTTTTTTAATGTTTTAAGGACCGCATGAACCCTGTTGAAATAATAATTAACAGATGTTTGCCTCTTTCAGCATAAAATTCTGATCAAAATAATGATCAAGAAAGATCCAAATGTACGACATGGTAAAAACTTCAAAAAATATGAAGAAAATAAAGGCCCATTTCTTAAGACTCATGTGATGTGAATGAAGAAGTGATACGTAACAGAAATATGAAGTTACCAAAGAGAAAACATAAATAAAAGTGGAAAATAAAGCTAGGAAATTGCAGTACCCTAGAGTGAAGTAGAAAATAAAAAATTAAATGAAAACAAAAACAAAACTAGAAAAACCACAAAAGCCGATAAAGGCGAATAAGGGCAAAATGCATTTCCACGTTCCACTAAGAAATGGCGTGATTAAGATTATATATAAGGTGATGAGAAATTTTAGGATGTTTAAAAATATTAACTACGTATTCGTATTAATAATTATGGAATATAGATTGAAGAAATTGATAAATATATTATTCTAAATCTATGCATACATAAGTATTTTATTGAAATTGTATCAATTATTAAAAAAACAGACTAAAAATGTAATTTAAAAAAGCTTATATTTAATCATGTTCTATCAGAAACATTCTTTTATAAAATTCAACCTTTCGTCGAATATAATGTTTTTTCAACGAATTTTTTTTTCTTTTTTATTCAATAAAATGTTATATTCAAATTTCTTTAAATTAGGAATAGAGTTTTAGATAACTAAAAAAGAAAAATCGTATTTTATAATTTAAAAAAAAAAGGATTGGTTAATAGCGAAAAAATATCTGAATGAAGTTTTACGCTACGCGGGCGTAAGTCAAGTTCTTAGTAAATTAACCACATTAATCGCGCCCTATTTAAATATTTCTTCATTGTTGCCAAATTATTTTTTTTAAATAAAATTAAGATTAATTTTTCTCAAATTAATTTTAATTTTTTTCTCTTGGGAATTTTATATTTTTCGGTATTAAATTTATATAGAGAAACACTCATTATATTTATACTTTTTTGTGACTTTTAACATTATGTCAAGGGCGAGTTTATAAAATCGTGAGCGAGAGAGAAAAAATCCGAAAAAGTCATTTAAAATTGCAGTAACTTTCGAATAAATTTTCATTTCGAACAGAAAATTAACATCCATTTTGTATAGTTTTCACTATTTCTTTATGATTTGACAGTAAAGTGCCATATTAAATATAACTAGTTAAGAGAGATGTGTTTTTTAATGATCTGCTTACATGATAGCTCTGAATCAAGTGATGCTTTCTTCAGCGCCAATTGTTGTGTATTATGATATCAATACAACTTTCTTTTTTTTAGCATTTAAATAACAATCATAACAATAAAAATAAAATTAAGGTCTTTAAGATAAGAATTTTTTCGAATTCCAAGTTCTAAATACTATAGTGTCTTCCTAAAAAATGTTTTCAGAAGAAATGTTTTTAGAAATGTCAGTAGTTCAGTCTTTCAGGCAGTTTTCTTATTCGAGTTGTTCTCCTTCATGAAGTGAAAGAAATGTTATTACTCACCTTTATGAAGACATGTGGATGGAGTTATTACCTTATAGTTAAATCGATCATGAGTAGTCGATGGTTAGGGTTCACTTGCTGGACCTGTAGTAGATTGTTTTTCATCAGAAATGTTATTGGTTGATCTTGCTTATCATCTTCATTATCTGAGATGTGAAGTTTACCTACTTTCATTAGACATTGACACTTTTTCTTGTTATTTTCAGTAATAACTTTATATGATCCAGGAGCTTCACAACTCTAATCTGCCATTCCTTTCCTTCAATAATTCTGCCGTTCTTATTTAAAGGTCTCAATATTTTGAAGAGGTTCACTTTGAACAATCTTTCGACACAGATAATATTGTTTGTAAATTTCTGTTCATTTGTCGTTCAGAAAGCAACCTTTCACGCTCTAGTGGTGTTGTTCTGTAATTCAATGAAGCAAGTTAAAAATCTGTTCCAAAGCCTTGTGAATTTTTTGGTATTCTCTTAACGATTTAAACTTCGTTTTCAGAAAATCAATTTGATTTTGGAAAAAATGGACTAGATGTGGTCAGTTTGAAATCATGGAATTTAGCAACATTGACGAAATCCTTAGCATTTTAATGTTTAACATTTCCACTTAGAACTTCTTAGGGAATTCCATGTCCGGCACAAATATTTTTCTAAGTTTGTAATATTAGTTGCTAAATCCTTAACCTCCGCAAATTCCACAGAGTTGAAATAAGAATCATAAACTACCAAATAATATTTTCCATTGAAACATAAAATATAAGTTTCAACACAATCCCATAGTAAGTTTAATTTAAAGATTTTGCTTGTTGTCGGAATCAGAATTTTTTACATATTTCAAATTTTTTTCAATGTCCACATTCATGGTTTGCCAAAGCAATATATATTTTTTTCTTTTCCTTTTTTTTTTTTAAATCCTGATGTCCTTCATGAATTCTTCAAGTATATCTTCTTTCATCGATTTTGGAGCGACAATGATTAACCCATGAATTTTTTTAAAATTTTCTTTTTATGGCTGATAGGCAGACATTTCCAATTTGTTTATCCATCTATATTCAATCTACTGCTTAACTTTCCGGATTTCAGGAATTTCAAAGTTTCATCCTTAAATTTCATCACTAAAGTCTTCTAATTAATTTCAAAAGCAGCTTCTTCAATTTCAGATTTTTAAGGTTCTTGCAAATAAACCTTCGACTATGTGTATCTGCAAGTTTTAAGTTCTTCCCGCGTGTACTATTCCATATCGAATTGATATTTTAATAAACCAATGAAAAGTCTTTATAGTATTATAGGAATGTTGGATTTTTACTTAGTCATAGATCAGTCATAGAACAGACGATGATCTGTTTCTAATATAATTTTCTTCCATATACTAAGTAATTTATTTTTTTCCACTCGAATTCTAATCCTTGTGCTTCCTTTTCTATTTGACTGTATCTAGTTTCTGTACTTGTTTACGATCTAGATGCTACCACGAATCATTTTGTTTTTGTTATAAATTGCAACCAAATGATTTTGACTAGCATCACTCGCTCAACTTTTATGTCCTTGTGAGCATAGAAATAACAAAGAACAGGATTTTGTGTTAAAATAAATTTTAAATTTTTCTATTTTTTTTATATTCGTTATACCATTGCATTTTCGTATCTTTTTTGAATAATTTTCTGAGATTAGCCCTTTTTTAGCCAAATTAGGAAAGCATTTTCCTATGCAATTTACCACTCCTAATAGGCTTTGGACTGTGTGTTTTGATTTGGGATTTGGCATCTGATTCATAGCTTTTAAATTAACAGAATACATTTCCATCGCTTGTTGCGTAAGCTTATTATCCATAAATAAGGTTTTATCTTTACTAAATTCCCACATTTATCTTCTAATGTTAAACCTTCTTCCTGTATATGTTTACGCAACCTTTCATCGCGTTCCTGCTTCGTGTTCCCAAATCTAACATTTCACACCCTCTCTTATCCTCTAACCATTGATGAAATGCTCTTCTAATACACTTATTAAACATATAGCGATTCTTTTTCCAATCTACCGAAAGGCTATGCAAAAAGTAACGAAGGTTTGGGATCCAATGGAATTTGACTTTCTACCCTGAAGTACTGAACTTCAGTTTAACCTGATTGTATTTAATTTCAGGAAAGAATTTGAAAATGTTTCCACATTGCGCAATTATATAAATTTACTTGCTTTTTCCACAATAATCATAGAAGTTAGAAATTCCGTCGGCTCTAAAATCGGTTCACCAATTTCTTTCTCCTACAATTTATTTAATTCGTTTTTTAATTTAGAATGCATGGGAAAAGGAATCTTTTAGAGGGAATTGTTACCAACTCATCGTTAATCAAACTCTACATTTATCTTTGATCAGATATTTCGATCCTTGAAAAAGTAAATCATTATTTTTTTAAAGACAGCCGTAACTGTCTCCAATCCGATCGTTATTTTCTGATGAGCACTGAATGGGCATTTTTAACCATGAGCCCAAGAGAGACCTCGTTAGTTAGTTACTCGATTCCACAATTAAGAAATCTGTTAAATTACTTTCAATTTTATATCGCATCGAAACTGAAATTATCCCGTAAGTTTTTACTTCTTTTAAAAAAACATTAAATTTATTACACAGCTCGACAAACTCCACAAAGTATTGCATAAGGCTTACAGCTATGCAAGTTTTTATTTAACTACCATTATATACTGTTAAAATGGGAGTTTATTTATTTAATTTTACCCTGTCTTTTATCTGTAAAAATAGACTATGCTTGCAACAGCCAGTATCAATTTTAAATGGTACATTTATTTCAAAAATATTCATTTTTAATACCAATTCAATTTTTCTAGAAGATATTTGATCAATAGTTGATACACATAAATGTCACTATCACTACTGTATTTTTGTTTCTTTTTAGAAATTTTCTGTATAACAGTTCGGCAACAAATTGACAGGTGAATCATTTTTCCGCATTTCAAGCAGTTTTCACCATAAGCAGGATAATTATATTTAGTATTGTAATGCTTTTTAGCACATTTTGTGCAAATTTACATTTTTAATTTTTGATTGTTAAGTTTTAGCATATTTTATTCTGTTTGAGGAATTTATAGCAGCTCTTTTTTTTCTTTAATGAGTTCAGATGTTAATGTTCAAGAGCTAAACCATTCACTTTTTCAAGAGTTAAATCATTTTGTTTTTACATTCTCTCCCTCATTTTTTTATCAATAACTCCAACAAGTTGATTTTGTATCAGAGACTTTGTTAAAGCAGTCAAATAACGGGATTGCGCTAAAAAATCACAAAATTTTTTTAAAAAATAATAAATGAAAGAAGTTTTAAAATCAAAGTTCAAGATTCGTAACGCATTGTTCAATAAATTCTCTTTCATTTTACATTAAGTTTCTGGCTCTCATATGTTTCATTTACTTTAGAAGAACAATGATCAGTCAACTTAGTAATGATAGGGTCAAAACCTCTTACCTTATTTCCTCCAAATCCAAACGTATTATATGCATCTATAACACCAAATTAATGAAACTATTTGCTTACCTGTAGTAGTAATATATATGTTGTGGCGTTTCAAAAGAAATCATAACTTTGCTTGAATCTTTTGCGGTTTTCATTCACATGACAGCTCATTTTCAACGGTGTCTGAGAATCCATCTTCACTTTCGTTATTTGTTTTTCTTCACTTCAATTTTTTTTAATCCATTTTGACTATTCTATTTATCTATGAGTAGGTGAATGTCTGATATTGTTTTACTGTTTCATTATGATTTACCAGTAATCTATCTTATTAAATATAACCTGTTATGAGAATCTTTTACGACTTACTTATACATAACAGTTTTGAATCAAGTGATCTTTCTGACAGCGACCCCTGTTTGGTACTAGGAAAAATCGAAATAGAAATTACAGTAAGTAAAATTTTACTTCTGTTGTATTTCAGTGAGATTTACTACAAGTTTAACAGTTGATAATTCTCTCATAATCCTACTTTTTTATTCCATCGTACTCCTTGTACGTATTTCTACAAACTTTGGTAATTTCAAGTAAGTTCTTTTAGTTTTTCTGCAACAAAATAAATGTATGGTAAAATTAAAGTTTTATGATTTTTTAATATAGGGATTATGTGGTTTACTGTATCTTAATTACCTATTTCGGTAATTGCTTAATTTAAAAATGCCTTTGAAAAATTGCTTTAAAAAGGTCTCAAACCAAATTATTTAACGTAGGGTTCTCTTTTTTTTTTCTTTTTTTTTCTATTACTTTTTTATTTTCAAAATTATCAAAATATGCTCTCATTAAAGGTGCAACTGGTATTATGCTGGGGTACAGGTACCGCTTAAGTTGCCTGACTTTTCTCCTCCCTTACTGGTACATATTTCTATTGGACAAGTCACACTGGAACAATCACTCTTACCTCTTCGGCCTCATTGGAATTCAGCTGATGGTGAGCGGTGCCAACAGATGTTGGTGAGAACACTTATTTGAACTTCGTTCGCATTATTAAATCAAGTTTCTTGCTGAATTTTAATGAAACATTTTTAAAAACTTATTCTGCACTTCAATATCCAACCAACTTTTCTTACTTTTTCTAGAAAAAATTTCTTGTTTCACTTTATTTCAAACTCTTTCGGTGCTTAAATACTCTAAACGACTGCGATAAATGTTTTAATAGAAAAATAAACGTTTGAACTATTAATCTTTAATTTCGCATTTAATTTTTAGGGGGAAAATTTTTTTAAAAAGTATTTCATACATGCAATATTATTAATAATTATTGTAATAGGAATAGCATTTCCAGGAAAAAACACAGTTCGAAAAAATAAAATAAAATAGGAATTAAAATTCCTGAATTTTTTCTCAAAATTAATAAATCAGAATTTAATGTATCATAACTAACTTTATCTCCAATATTTTCTTCTTTTATTTTAAACAAAACATGTTTGTAGAAGAAAAATCTCAAATTAATCGGTTCATTCAACACAACCTTAATTTAATTTAACTCCGCCCTCTCCCAATACGGGGGCATTCGGGGAAGTCTCGAAATGCGCGTCTGTGTCTTATCAGTACAAGAAAATGAATAAACAACCTGGAGAGTGACACTGTGCTGAACTGGTGTAAATGTACAGATGTAAATATTTGTTGTTTACAGAGCTCCAAGCTAAAGCCAAAGAACGTTCCATAATATAAAATTACAGATATAAAAGTATGTTGTGAAAGTCAGAATACAGGAATCAGAATTTCTAAGTAAATAAGACGTCCTTGGAAGAAAGTACTGTCACTGCGAAATGTTTTAAAGAAGTAAAGATGAATCAAATCATATTAAAGAACTAGTTAAAGACATAGTGCATATGAATTGATCCATAATAAATAATGTCTTTGCAAGCAGTTTTACAGAGTTTCGAAAAATGAAAAAGATGCATAAATGTAAATGTTTAGAGATAATGATAAATCTTATGATATATCCACTTTAGTATCTGAATCAGTTGGAAGCAAAGTCTAATTTCAATAAAGTGAATCAGGCAGGCAGTACCTTAAAATGAAAGATGCATGCACATTTATAATTAGTTATAGAAGTGTCCATATTATTTCTCGAAAATAAACCTCGCCTTCAAAACCCGAGATTCTGAACCGAGTGTAACAGAGTTTTGATTAGTTTTGTAAATTACTTGCTTCAGTTTCTAGAAAGAGACATACGTTACTATACACAAAATGTATTTTATATTAAAATAGTGCATATATACCGACGAAACAGTAGATGAAAATTAAAAATTTATGTGTTTTATTAAATAAGTTTGTTCTACCGATGAATAATTTTTCTTTTCCTTTGAACATTTCTTTAATAATTTTTTGCATGCCCTCTAAAGTTCTCTTTGTTCTCCAATGCTGTATTAGGTTGTTTAGCCTATTCGAGAAATACGTATTTCTTGTTTAATTATAAACTGGACAGGTTATCAGAATGTGTTCTTGCAACACACCACAGTGGTTACAGCATTTAAATTTTCCAAATATTTTATTTTGATGTGATGCATGTGCTCCATGTTTGTTTAGAAATTGGTTTATGTAAAAATTTCCAAACCTATATTTGGTTCGTACTTTGGTCAAAATATCTGTGAGTATGTTTTTCCTTTGTATACGGGTTGCTCTATCTCATTGGCTAGGAGTCCATGTCTTCTTCAGTTAGTCTTTTTCTAAATGTATGTTTTGATTCTTCATCAAAAAGATCCTCTCTTTCACTAGCTTTCTTAGCTAATCTATCCACATCTTTATTTCCACGTGTATCCTAGTGAGCTCTAATCCAATTTAACTGGATGTTCGAAGTTAATCTGTTCTTTTATACTTGAAATGATGCAATCCATTTTATGTGCATTAGAAAGAAACTGTAATCTAGAGAGTGAGTCTGAGAAAACTTTTACTCTATCACTGATTTGTTGGTCGGTTATTCAGTAGATAGACTGGAGAATCACCCAGAGCTCGGCTTTAAAAACTGAAGAATTGTCAGACAATCTAAATTGTTTGCTGCTGTGAATGACATTTCCATTGGAATAGACCACGAAGCCACATCCTATTCTAAATTTGTTCAGATATTTAAGTTTGAACCATCAGTGTAAATTTCTAGTTCTGTGGTTTGTGATAATTGAATTCAATGGAAATTGTTTCGGCAGGGTGGTGTATAGGTACTTTGGCCGGTATTTTTTGGTTAATTTCAATTTTGTTATGTAGAAAGATGTTTGATAAAGTTGCTTCTGTTTCTAATATAAGATCTAGGGATATGGTTCCTGCAAAGCTTCGGTTGACGTCGTTCTGTGTGCCTTAGTTTTAGCCAATAGAATTATCCTATCAATTTTCTTGATTCTGTTTATTGTCCTGACCTGTTCATTATACCATATTTCTACCCCATATGACATTATTCTGAGCATACTGTTTCTATAGATAAATTTATTGATCTCCGGGCCGATTCCCCAGTCATCTCCAGAAATTCTGTTTAATTTGACTTGGAATTTGATAATTTTAGAATAGACACTGTCGAGATGAGGTAGTCAAGATAGCTGAGTACTAAGCTTGAATCTCAAGTAGTCAATCATTTGTTGAATTCTTATGTTTTGGCCTTAACACAATCTTATTCATCATGACTTAAATTCTTGGGTGAGTATCTTAACTGAACTGGAAATATAAGATTAATAGCAAATTTTATGCAATTTTCTTCCGTTACTATATCATTGCAAATTTAATGTTTCCAGTATTTCATTTTAAATTAATATAGCTAAAAATGTCAGATTATTATTCACAAAATGTATTCATGCAGATTATTATATAAAGCTTGTTTTATTCTCTAAAATAAACTGATTCATTTAGTTTTCAAAATCAGGTCCTTAGATGGAAGAAGAAATCCTGACTTTAAATATGCACATGTACCTCTCTGGAATTATGCTCTTCTTAGAGGACAGGTAAAAAGAAATTATTTTTATTGGTTTTTGATAATACATACCTTACCATCTCTTGCTTTTTCCTAAAATGATTTTTCGAAATGGTAGTAAAATGCAAATTGAAAAAAAAATCAATTATAAATATTTTTATATTTTGCCAAAGTTAAATCCCACCCACGTTTATAATTCCTACATTTATATACAGTTTAATGATATGTTTGAAGTTTATTAATATGTTTGTAGTGGTCTTTAAAATCATTCATTATTAAAAATATAATCCAAAAGTGACAAATAAAACTTGTACAATTTTATATATAAGAATAGCATCTCTAAGAAAACACTAAATAATTTGCTGCTATGGATAATATTAGAGATGTACCGGATCCTAAAACTCTTGCAGGGTTCAGGTACCCGAAGAAAATTGAATATTCTACCCAACCGATTCCGAGTACCTGGTAAAGTTTGAATTTATTACCCGTCTTGTTCTGGGTACCCAAGTGGGTATTATTTATGAAGAACACTATAAATCAGCGATTCTCAACCTGTGGGGCGAGCCCCCCTAGGGGGGCGCGAGCACACCAGAGGGGTGGCGTGAGAATATTCAAGAGAAAATATTATTTAAAAAAATTGATTAACTGGAAGAAAGGAAAGCGCACATACTAATAGAAAACAAAATATATTTCGACATGTTTAATAACTTATTAAAGTGAAACAACTTATTAAATCAAAACTTAAGGTGCTTTGAGGATTTTTTCTAATTTTCTGATTAAGTCTGTGTGGCTGAATTTTTTTCTGTAACATCTTACATCTATCTCTAATATATACCACGTATACTTTTAATTGTAAAATAAAATTTCATTTATTTTGTAGTACAATTTCAAAATTGTAGCTTCTGCGCCTAAGGTTTCCCACAGGTTCCAAAGGTGAGCCATATATTGAAATCACTTTTTCACTTACTCAAATTATCCTTAGAAAAAACATTTAGACTGGCAAACGTCTTTTAAAAAGGCACTTTAAGTGTCTTGTTGGTAGGANTGATTTGCAGAAAAGTAGTTCTACTACTGACATATTATCACAAAATCAAACATAGGCAATGAAATGAGCATCTTTATTAATATCTCTTGCTTCAAAGTTTATTGAAAACATTTTGTCACGCAACATCGAGAAAAGCTGACACTACATTTTCAGCTGTATCACCTATTCGACGAGCAACAGTATCATTTGAAAGAGGTATGGACTGTAATTGTTTTAAGAGATTAACTCCAAACATAGTTTCTACAATCTCAATTGTTGCTGATTTTTACTTTACTTTTGTTTTGGTAGTTAGTTAAAAATAATTTAAAGACAGAACTCAGAATACTCAATATACATTATTGTTGCATACATTTTACTGCAAGTGGGGGGCGCGATGAAAATTATGATTGAAAACTGGGCCGCGAATACTGAAAGGTTGAGAAACGCTGCTATAAATATTGCATTATTTTCCATCGAACAAATATTTTACACGATATCGTTCTAAGGAAATTTATTGCACGCTTATATAGATAAAAACATATTTTTACATTTAGATTTTTTTAAACTAATTTTTTTAAAAACAAGTTTCTTAAAAGAATTTGGAATGAATGACCTTCTCTTTAGAAGTGGGGACATCTGGTGGAGATTTATGCTTCATTCTTCTTTTTTTTTTTAAAAATAATTTCTGTTAAAAGTAGGATGTTTTAAAAATAACTTGATTGTATAATTGTTTGAACTAATTTCAAGCATGCAATAACTATAACATTATTTGCATGCAATGCGATCGACTTTACAATCTCTTCTATACTCTTTCAAAAAATTTATCTTATAACCAATGTTGAACAGAAAATTCATAGAACGGTTTTGCTTCAATAATATTAGTATCTTATCTGCTTATCTAAGAAATCTTAAACCTCCAAAAGACTCTTAGATGAAGCAACAAACAAGGGGTAAATTCGCTTTCATATAAAACTTTTTGTGTGCAATTAACTGGTATTTGCGTCACACGAATACTTTTCATGGTAAGAGAACTTTGGCCAGACTGATTGAAAATTGTATTTATTTAGTTAACGAGAAAGAAACACGCGTTCAAGTAAAAAATTAGTTTCAAGTTCTCGATAGCCAATTTCAATCAAACATGCTTCTTTCAAATATAAACGTAAGTCAATTTATGATGAAAAAATTTAATAAAACTTTAACAAATGAGCTATTTATTGAGTTATGTAGGAAAAATACTTTTTTCTTCTTAAAATAAAAACTCTTTCAACGAAATTTATTTTGTCAAATTTTGTTTAACAATTATTCTGATTTTAACATGCGATTTTATTTACTAGGAAATTTATCTTTAATGATGTCGAATTTGTTATAGCATTAGAATAATTAAGCATGCTATTTGTAATAAAATATTTATGTTTGTTTGTCCGTTATACTTCTATAAAATGGACAAGCCTATAAACCTAAATACTCATTTTTTGAGTGCTTACTATGAGAGTAATACATATATACCGTAATTGTCTAAAGTTATCATTGAATATTATTATGATTTTATTTAGGTTTAATTGAATATCAATGTCATTGCCTATTCCTAATTTTGTATTTATTTAATTATCGTATTAATTATTTAGCATTAGATTTTTGAAAATGTACGTCCTTATCTTAAGCGAACACTTTTAACGAACATATTTCTCCATCCCAAAGTTGACCATTTTTCCCTGGATTTAAATTCTGCGTCGTACCTAAACTAGCTATTTTAGCTTGATTATTAAGAAAGAGATAAAAATACAAGAATTTCCTAAGCAAAAACTATTCAAATTATAAATATGAATATGGTTGAGTCGAAAATAAATGCGTGTTGCAAGGCACTGATGGATACCCAGTAAAATTGGCTGAGTTTGGGTACCCAGTACAGCGTCTTGAGATTAAAACCCAGATCCAGGTACCCGGTACTGGGTAGAGAAATTATTTTTTTGTGTAGTAACCGTTTAGTGAAAATTTGGTTGGGGCAGGGCCAAAGAGAGAATAGAAGGGCTGATTCACTCCTTTGAAGGAACTCTCGCCCGTCAAACCTCCCAATTTACCCTGTGACGTCATGGCAGCACAAAGCTTGAACTTTTAATTCAAGAACGGAGCATTCGGTCTCTCTAACTAATATTGAAGCATTCCTTTTTGTGACATATTCCAAGACATTCGTTGTTTTCTATAATGGTTTTCCTCAGTTTTTTGTAGTGAATTACAAAAATTTAAAATTATTAACGAAATGCCAGTTTGCGCGATTGCAATTTGCAAAAATTCAAATAGAAACTCAGAAGGGAGAAATATAATTTTCCCCGTCTTCCCTAAAGTAAATGAGCAACTATGTAAAGAATTGCTTCAATGTTGCAAATTTAATGACCCAGTTAGTATAAAATATGCACGAATATGCCGTGAGCATTTCTTGAAAGAAGATTATGAAGATGATATGAGAAATCGTTTGCTTGGATAGCCAATTAGAATAATTCTAAAATCTACTGCAATACCAAGAGTAAACTTTCCATTTTCTACTTTACAAACAAGTTCTTCCGGGCCAGATAGATTGACTAAACGGCTGGTTCGTGCATTGGACAAAATAAAAACTCTAAACCCAAAATGAAATTTTTTTAAGTACAGCATATTGTGATAGATGCTAGAAACAGAAGCACTGACAGAAAGAAAGAATTGAAACTTTAGAAAAGGATTCGAAAAATAAAAATAATGAAGAAATAAAGTTTAAAAAATATTATTCAGGATATAACGGTGGAACGCATCCAGAAAAAAATTCTGGAAAAAAAATTATGAGAAGAGAAGGCCATTAAAATTAGAACAAGCTTAAATAATAAAAAGCTATGAATAATTAATAGTTAAAATTCTCCTAATTTCATAACATATTTTTTAATGTAGTTATTCTAATTACTTATATCTTTTTTATAATTATATTCTCTTAAATTTAAATATCTATAAACAATTGTAAAATTTCTAATATTATTATAAACCTAAATTATTATTTTGTTTCAGTAATTAGCGTTTAAGGTTTTTGTTTCTTTATGATTAAGAATAAGCAAAATGCCATCAACAGTATATTTTGAAGTCAGGATTCGAAATTTTACCCAACTTTACAAATTATTGTTATCGGACTATATGTAGCTCGTGTCGATATCTGCTTTAATTCTTTTTAGTAATAAAAGTTAAAATAAAATTTGAAAATACTTGGTCCATTTTACGACAGCTTGTAAAATATTTTTATTAATTTAAAATGGTATTTTTTATTTATATTATGTTCAAGTAAATTTTTTTGAACGGAAATAATGTTTTAATTACTTAAAAGTTTGAAAGCTAATATCAAGAAAAAGTCCAACTTATTTTTACCGAAGGAATGATGCATAATTTTCATAATATCGTTACTTGCGATCTCCGACATCTGTGTGCGGTGTGACGTCATGAGGAGGGAAATCGTAGCTTCAGCTCTAAGAGAAGAATGAACCAGCCCTTCTCTTTTCTTTCGCCCTGGGTCGAAGGTACCGAGTCATTGCCGGGTACCTGGTACATCTTTAAATAATATCTTACATAAGATGTGTCAAAATGCTAAACTCCTTCTTACATTCCTCTCTTTTTGATAAATTCATTAAACTTTATATTTATCAGGGGTCGAAAATAATATTGAGCAACATGCCCGTATGATGCAAAAATTGTTATCAGGTGCATATTTATTTACCTTAGCAAGCGCGCTGTATTTCATCAGGTAACGTAAAGTATCAACAAAGTTCATCTTAAAACTTCAGCGAAAATTGCCGAATGGGGAGGATAAGCGGTATTTTTTTTGCTAATACAGTTGATATAACAACCCTTATGATCTGGGCGAAAACAAACGTGAGGTCGTTTCTCTTGAGAGCACAGAAATAACATAAATATTAACTCACAGTTAAAAAAAATACCCTTTTTAACAAAATACTTTAACTAGAACTGGGTGAAAAACTGTGAGTAATCCATCTTTTTCTCTAAATTAATAATACCTGTAAAATAATGCTTAAATGCGTTAGAAATAAGATCCACTTTCATTAAACATCAAGATAACTGCGAAGACCACATGAAATCAAAGATAAACTACACAATGAGTGGATAAAATTTTCCAACATGGAAAGTAAGATTGATAAATGTATTGTATCCTTTGAGAGGAAACAAATTATGAATTGAGCAATTATACTGTCCCTTATTCAATATGCTATGCATTGATTGGGTGAGAAAATCAAAGGGAGTAATGCATTCCCGTCCCTAACCGATTCGAGAGGGGGGGTGTTGAAGTTTATTTTGCCGACTGTCATATATATATATATATATATATATAGTTTCCATAACTGAAT